TAGACTTTACAGAGAGCAGCTGTGATGAGCCTTCAGACAGCAGACACTGCATGTTCAAGTTCAACACAATCAGCTCTAACTCAAGTCACTGGGGAAAAGCATTTCAAAACCAACATGGTTTTTTCTGAATAATATTTCCTGTGTAAGCAAGTTTTTAAGAGATGAGAATGATGAATAAAACATAATAAAAAAAACATCATTTGTGAATCAAAGCACCCTCTCTCTGACAGTGACATGTTGTAAAACATTTATGGACAATTATAGGAGCCATATTATCCTTTTTTTTCTGAGGTAAAATTATATGACCTATAATAATAATATTAATAATAACTGTTTCATTTATTCAGTGCCTTTAATACTTTCATGTAAATAAGTAACCACTAAAGTTCACTGCTGTTTTCTGAAATCTGCATGTTGGTCTTTTGTAATGCATCTCTGTGTGTTTTGCACTTGCGAGGTTAAAGCAAAGAGTCTTTCATCTTTGGACCGTCCCTTTGTTCTGCCTTGATAACATGTTCTCACCACATGCCTGTTTTAAGGTTTGTTGCTGGATGATCATTGTATTTATATAATAAACCAGATGTTTGCCATCACACAGCTGTGCATCTGCTTTTGGAGAAATGCAGTTACGTAACTCGCGTTACTTGTAATGCGTTACCCCCAACACTGAGCATCACATCATCTGCTCACCAATGGAAGCTTTTCGCAGCTTTTCTCTTCACAAGAAATTAACTGATGGAGGGGTGTGGATTACTTGTGGATTATGGTGATGTTTTTATCAGCTGTTTGGACTCTCATTCTGACAGCACCCATTCACTGCAGAGCATCCATTGGTGAGCAAGTGATGTGATGCTACATTTCTCCAAATCTGTTCTCATGAACAAACAAATCTGCATCTTACTATTCCTTGAAAGCATCTGTTCAAATTACCTTTGACTGAGTTATAGTGACTGTAAACATAAAACAGATACACCACAAACTAAAAATGACCCACTTCACCTTTAAATACCTGAAAACACACGTGAAGCTTTTGAATCCTCCAGACGAGTTTCCTCCCTGCGTCTGCACTCTGGATCCTGAACTTGTTGTGCAGAATCTGGAGCTGGATCTGAACTCATTGACTCCTGTAATACATGTCGTTCCTCTAAGAGCACAAAGGCCTCTGTCAGCGCTTACCGCGGTAAAGTCAGCCAAAGCAATAAAGAAGAGTTATGGGGCCAAAGATCCCAAACAAGGCTCACTTTCTTTGTGGGAGAGAGATGGAGAGAGTATTACAGAGAGATTCGCAGCGCCGTTGACTTACAGAGCATCAGGACAACAAGAAAATAAACAGCTTTACACTAGCTTTACATTGATTTTACCATGGAAATGGGTATTCTTGGGCCTGACACAAGTGGAGTTTTCCCTAACTGTGGTAAAAGTACATCTTGAATGGCTTATTGGTTTCTTAAAGTAATGGCAACATAAGTATAAGGAAACTGCTAATGTTCAACACTTTGAAAAAGCAACTACTTCTAAATGAAACATCCAGGGCTTTTTAAATCACACATAACAACAAATATAAATGATTATGAATCTGCATAAAAAACACGTTAGGCTGGCTGTAATCCCTCAAATATCATCTCAAGTAGCCTAACACAGTCTAAATAAACAATTTCATTTTTGTTTTTAATGCTGCTTATTGGATAAAACTTTGTAAACTCCCATCATGCACTGCAGCATGCATAAATTATGTGGTTACTTTTATAAGATTAATGACTTTATAATGTTACATTTTTACTTTAAAATCAGCTGTTATCTTCAGAGGCATGGAGTTCACATTACATGTTAAACACTATGTAAGAATGAAATGATGACAAATTATGTTTGCATTTACATACATTCATTTAGCAGATGTTTTTATCCAAAAGACAAACATCACAACAAGCTATTTATCTTTAAGATTTCTGGGGTGCTAATGATATTTTGCAGCAAATGTATAACTTGCTAATTGTAAATGTGCAAGAAATCTATAGTTGCTTTGACAATTTATTGGCTGAAGGAAACATTTGCATTTAGTGAATTAACAAATTGGCTAAACAATATAGAGGCTAATGAGAACCTACAGAACTCACACTGCATTTTTTTTTTTTTTAATTCATTTTTTATAAATACTGGGATATTATTGCAAAAGGGTGGAGTAGAATGAAGTTTTATTGTGAATGCATGAAATATGCACTTATGTTCAAAACTTTTATTTTAGGGAAACATATAAACATTGTACAGAAGTTCACTCAAATGTCCACCCAAAGCACTTTCTCTGTCTCTTCAGCATAATTAATGTGAACAGCTTCAGTCTGGACTCACTGTTGACAGCCCAGCAGGGTTTCATCGCATGTCGATCCTGCATGGCTTTTAAAAGAAGAATTCAATAACAACAACAAACATGTTTTATGTGCAGCCCAAATGTCAGAATATTCTCATTAAATGCGATGTTAAAAGCCCCAGCTCTCCGAGTCCAATCCAAAAGACTGTGTTTCTGCCATCACTTTCTTTCCTCTTAAGAGCTCTTGAGTTTAACTCCTATACAGCTTGACCTATAATTTCCCATTCTTGAAATTTAATTGTCTCAGAAACATGTTTTTTTCTTCTTTTGTAAGCCTCTTAGATAACAATGCATCTGTGAAGAAATATAAAATACTGGAGAACACCAGGCTGAAATAACCTGACGAAAATGTACCACGGTAACAAGAGTTTCTGTAAAAATACAGCAATTTTTTCCCACAGTAAAATCATAATAAATTACTATGGAAAACATTATTATACTGATCTTCATACACAATTTTCTGTCATTTGTTTCTATATAACATTATTGTCTTATTTTTGTGGCATTTAACAAATCAGCAGTTTTCTACAATAAATGCAGTATTTTGTACTAAAACACATTTTCACCATGGTAATTATTCTCATTTATCAAATCAACTGTGTTTGTATAGTAACAATAAATGTGGTGTTTTACCACAGTAATTTTTCTGTAATTTTTTCATTACATTTGATATATATATATATATACATTAAATAAATCGGGGTGTTTTTTATATCGTAAAAATAAATGTGGTAACAAATAATTATTTTTTTTACCTTAGTGACTTCTCTGAATTTTTTATTTAATTATTTTCTTGCTTTTTGTGGTATTTACCAATTGAAAACTCTTTAGTAACAACTGATGTGATATTTTGTACCAAATAATATTTTTACTATGGTAAATTTTCTGTGATTGTTTTTCCCCCCTTATTACATTATTTTCTTATTGTTTGTGGCATTTCAATAAAGTTACACACACACACACACACACACACAGGTTTGTTTTTGTGAAAAGTGGGGACAA